GCTGTAATTAACAGGTTAATTACTTGTCAATATCTCAGGGTCGGATTTCCCTTGGTTAATTACCCTGAACCGGGTATTCGGGACATGGTTGTCCAAGGAGACTCTGGGCAGTGTCGGGGTGTATCTGGTGTTTCGTGAGCGACTACAAGCCACTCTACGGAGGATGAGACAGTTATGCCACCTGCTGTCCAGGCAATGAGGTTGTTTTCGTCGTGTGCCAAGCCTGGTCTCTCACGCTGCTCGATGACTTGTTCCTCACAGTACTGCTCCTACGAAGGCTTTCAAGTGCTCCAAAGAGAAGGAGAACATGTCTCTACATTTATTGGGGCCTGAGGGACGTGTTTTACGAGCACCGACTCGAATGTACTGTCGAGGACACGGAATGTGGCCAAATGTGGCCTTTTGGTTATTGACAATGTTAATTACATGTTAATAACTACCATTTTTGTTAATAACGTTGATAACGCTGTCGAGAACCCAGCGGAGAGTAATTCACCGAGCTCTAAAAGAGACAGACATAGCCTAGGACGGTTTGTCATCTGAATGATGGCATGCATGGCGAGTGGTTATTTATGGGTGTTTGTTCAATGTTCGAAAGTGCTGTGGCGCTGGGTGCCTCGAGGCAGCAGCGTGTCCTTCCAGATTTGCTCGTTCATCGGAACGCTCTGTTGGTCTCTTCTGCTGCTGTATACCCCGGAAACCTCCTATATCTGACGACCAACCCGATCTATAAGCTTCTAGCTTTGCTAACGCTCCTCTTACCCTGCTCCTTCTGTCTCCGCGTCATATCCCTGCTCTAATTGCTGCTCTCGTTTTTATTGTTTAACGTTGCTTTCACGACCAGCCCGACTGTATATTCTTCCTGCTTGAACCACCGCGAAAATCATGTCTGCTGCGGAAAAGAACGAGGCTGAGGTGTTGCGCCCCATTCTCATGAGGTCGAGCACTCCAGGTGCGATCAGCTTGTCTTGCTGCCGTGCGTCATATCTTATCCAAACGTGAACATGTAGCCCCTAGCGAGAAAGGTATGTTCGGTATTGCGCGAGACTCGGGCGAGTGACCAATGTCCGCATTCAGTGCTCCTCTACCTGGAGAGTATGTCCAGAGAAGAGATGATGTCGGATCCCGAAGAGCTTTCACCGTCCATCCGAGGCGACGACGAGCCGCCCATGAGCCCGGGCAGATGGAATCCGCGGTCCCCCAGACTAACTGGTGGGTCTGACTTCCGCCCAACTTCACCGGGCAACGGCCTGCAGGGCCTCCGCAATGGGTCGGAAGCAGTCTATGCGCCCGCAGACGGCGCGCGGGACGACGACCTGGACTCGAACGTGCAGGAAAGGGGGACCATGCTCGGGGTTAGTATTCTCCTCACACCTACCTATTACAACTCAACGCTCCTCAGCGTGAGCCTGGCCCCGAGGATGAACCCGGGCCCCGTTACATTTCATATGGCTCCGGCCCTTCTTTCGGGAACCTGGGACCCCTCCGCGATAGCGGCTTTGACGGTGGACCGTACAACGGTTTTCACGTATGCTTTACTTGAATATACAGCTTCTCTCGACGTGGCGCTGATTCCTTGCACTTACCACAGAGTACACCTCACCATGCCGCCCAAGTCCCTCTTCCTGGCTCCGTGGCATCACCGCGCGCCGCCAGTATCAACATCGAGATTGAGATAGAGCCGCCTTCGAGCTCGTCGAACCGGGCTCGGACCCGGTCAGCTCGTGGCTCTGAACGCGACGATGCAACTGTTACCGGCCAAGTTGGTTACCTGATCAACTTTGTAACAGCGCATCTACTGACTCTCCGTACCAGGGCAAGACACCCTCTGCCATGGGCAGCAAAGTCGGCACAGCAAGGGGTGAGCCCGACGGCCGGCCGCTGTCCCCCCGTTCCGCCATATCTCGTGGCCCGTCACAGAAATCAGGAGCCACAGGGAGAAACGGATATGCGCCAAATGGCAGTGTAGTCGACGGAGCGAAGTCACCCAAGCCGCTCTCCAAGGCGCCTTCTATCTCCCCCTCCGACTCCCCATCCAACTTCAAGCCCAAGACGAACGGCAAGGCGAGCATGTCCCAGCGCGCCATGAGCCCCGTCCGCGAGCAGGCATCACCGCGCAGCCAACCTCGCGAGGTTGCGTACCAGAATGGAGGTGGGAGTTCCGCGATCTCGCTCGCATTTGCGTCGACTGAGACTCTTCATTTCCTTCACAGTACGCTCGCATGCCTCTGGCATGTCTGGCCAAAATCTCAATAGGGCGTTCTCTCCTCACCGCCACGCGCCCACTACGGAGGACTTGTTCCACGTAGCGATGATGAACGGCGCAATGTCCCCAACACGCGAGAAACAACCCTCCGTAACAGGTTCACGAATGAACGGGAACCGCTCGGTCGCGAACGACCCCGCTGCAACGCCCACGCCCTCTCGCCCGCAGTCCCCGCTGGAGATGGACCAGCGCGACGAGAAGACGGTGCAGGAGTTGCTCTCGCGCAGGATGTCCCGGACGTCCATGGCGTTCTCGAACATGGACGGCACGGATATCCACGCCTCACATTTCCATGACGGGGAGCTGTGTGTGCTGCTGCATGCGCTCGATGACTCGAATTTGGACAATATTGTGAAGAAGGCCGTGCAGAAGGCCGTTCGGCAGAGGATCAAGAAGTTGGGCTTGAAGTACGATAACGAGGTATGCGTCGACGTAGGCATGGGTTATACTCTGTTTCGGCGCTTACTGTTTTCGCTTGCAGTCGATTAAACAGTATCGCAAGTCATTCCATAATCATGACCCCGAGGTTCACATGGAACCCAATTTCGTACCCACACTCACTTCGGTAAGCAGTATGCGTACATGACGGTTGGGTAGACTAACGTTCTTGTAGCAGGAGCCTCCTGATTGGGCGAAGGAGCTCATGCAAGGCATGATTATAATGCAGCAGAGACTGGAAGGTCTTGGTCCCAAGATCGACAGTCTCAAGTCTGCACGGGGCGACTCGTATGTGGACGACGGTCGTAGCTACCGCCGCGATCACCATTACACGCAGTCAGAGCTCGACCAGTACGGCCAAACACCGATGACGCAGACGGTCAACATCCAAACCGCCCAACCAACCGGAACCGTCGCGGACTCGATGTTCCAGGCTCCGGAGACGGAAATCATAGGTCAGTCCACCATTGGGCCCACGCTGCCGGGTTCTATGCATCATCATGACGGCTCTACTCACGGCCTTGGACAAGAAGACGAGTACGATGACGATCCCCACCACGGATACGCCGGCCAGGACACAGAGACGCGCGAACCAATGAGTGAGTTCATGATGGGCCGCGACGATTCCCCCGGGCAGCAGTACCTCGAAGAAGAGCTGTACAAACTTAGAGTGAAGCCGACCGGGAGTCAGTCCGCGATTTCCCACAAGACCTGGGAAGTGGCGAGGGATGGCGGGGAATATGAAGAGGACCCAGACGGGCACGCCGCTATTACCGAGTCAGGCATGCCGGAGATTCCTGATGGGAATACCGGCATATATACGAGGAAGTCTTCCCCTCCTTTGCCGCCGGTTCCCCGCGACAGTCGACAGGATATGGCAGCGTCCGGGTGGCAAAATGATTACGGGAGCGATGCGCCGCCGATACCTCCTTGGCAGAGAGTCCACCAACGCTTGTTGAGTTGGGCCATCGTATGGCCCATGTCCGAGCTGGATGCTGCGCTCAACAGTACCACCCGTGGTCACCAGGTCGACGAGGTAGCGCTGAGCATCTGGTCGACGCAGACCTACAAGCGCTACGTGAGGAGCAAATTGACTGATTCTCCTCAGGGCCGCGTTGATCGTCTGTTCGTGCCGCCGAACATGGCCGACGCTATCAGTAACGCTGTGTACAATGGTCGGCACGGCGATGCCTGCGCGATGCTCCGCGATTTATGGGGCCCCTTCGGACTGGAAGGGATGCCTAGGTTGTTGATCGTGTTGGCCAAGCATCGATCAGATGATAGCCACTGGGTTGTGCATCGGTGCGTAATGTCTGAGAGACTTCGAAAATAATCTGACAGTGCTTGCAGGTTCTCATTGCCAGATGGATCATTGACTACCTACGACACCTTCCCGGAACGTTGTTTACCAGATGGACGCGTAAGTTGGGCATTATGAACTACACTCGTGTGTCTCGACTCACAACATGCGGTTAGCCTCTCGGATGGTGGTTCGCTATCCGGATCGCCTGGCCTAATGCGATCTACCCCAGTCCCGACCATCTTATGCAGAAAATGGTCCGCCTTCATCGACCGCTGCAGCTGGCCATTGACAATTCGGTCGCTGCAGCAGGTATCTGGCGAAACTTGCTTATGGGATCCCGTGCGGAGCGAAGCGTCGATCTTGAGCGGCTCCGAGATCTCATCAACACCGAAGTCAAGAACTTGCGACAGAGGAAGGAGATGGGCAAGCTCTCGATCAGCCCGCCAAAGCCCAACTGGGAAGACATGAACTGATGACCACAACCTCTGCTCTTTAGTTCCTCGTTAGACTGTTTGTATGTTCTGTACTGCGCTTTCTTTCCCTATGTATTCTCATGACTGGAAGCCGCTGGCATCTGTTTGTAGTTGTACGTGGGTGAGGGGATTCCCGCGTGGAATTTCAGGATGGACACTTGATGAGTGTAGTTAGATAGTTTACGATGCCGCTGTTATCTTAGCAGATATCAATGCCTGTATGACTGATGTCGTTAATTAGCGAGACCTTGAATAGATACGCACTGCAGTAGTAGACGGGGATCGCAGAAATTGCTATAGGCCTTCCATCACGGAAGTAAGCATCTGCACCGAGTCGTCTGCTGTTTCATTTACTCTCGAAAGAGGTCCCTTCGTGTTGGCCTGTGATATTGCCAGAAGTCAATGCATGAGAGAAGAGAAAACATGAGCATGGACATACATGGTAAATTGCTTGAGCCTGGCTGTCGAGGTGGACCCGAACTTCCGCTGCCTGAGCCCCAGACATCTTCTTGGTGCGCCTGTCCCTTCTCGCTGCCTTCAAGGCAGAGGCCTTTGGAGCCTTTATTGTTGTGGACGTCTTAGCATGCTTTCTCATCGCCTTTGACATGAGCGACCAGACGACCAGGATCGACACCGACGTCCTCGATTCGACTGCGAAGGTAAGAAAACAAAATAAACGCGGTTACGTAACGCGATTATAGTGGTTTTCAGTGGCGCCAGGTCTTCCACCTCTGCCCTTCCAGCTATCCGCCATGGCCGACTCTCCTACTCTAAGCATAACACTTCTGGGAGCTGGTCAAGAAGTTGGGCGCTCATGCTGCGTGCTGCAGTATCGCGGCAAGACCGTCGTATGCGATGCTGGGGTGCACTTGGCATACAGTGGGATGGCGTCGTTGCCGTTCGTAGACGAACTTGATTGGAGTACCGTAGATGCACTCCTCATCACTCAGTAAGTTGCTCAAATGTGCCGCCTGCGACCTGCCTTCACTATCTATGTAGTTTCCACATGGATCATGCGGCTGCTCTGACATATATTATGGAAAAGGTAATACCATCCAGACTCAGTTCTTCTGCGCATTCCCTGATTCTTTCTCAGACTAATTTCAGGGACGGTAAAGGAAAAGTGTATATGACACACCCCACGAAAGCCGTTCACAAGTTCATGATGCAAGACTTCGTTCGTATGAGGTACGCTGGCCAGTCTCGCTAAAGCTCTAGTCTCAGACGTTGTCTACAGCTCGACTTCATCGGACGCGCTCTTTTCTCCCATGGACGTCACTATGTCTCTTGCGTCCATTATTCCTGTGTCTGCCCATCAACTAATCAACGTCTGTCCTGGAATCTCCTTCACGTCCTATCACGCTGGTCACGTTCTGGGTGCTTGTATGTTTCTCATCGACATTGCTGGGCTCAAAATACTGTATACCGGCGACTACTCTCGGGAAGAAGATCGACATTTGGTTAAGGCTGAGGTTCCCCCCATTCGACCTGACGTTCTCATAGTTGAAAGTACGTTCGGCGTTCAGACCCTTGAGGCTAGGGACGAAAAGGAGGCGCGCTTTACAAATCTCGTGCATTCCATAATCCGGAGAGGCGGTCATGTCTTGATGCCTGTCTTTGCTCTCGGCCGTGCACAAGAACTCCTGCTTGTACTAGACGAATACTGGAAGAAACACCCGGACCTGCACAGCGTGCCGATTTACTATGCTTCTAACCTTGCTCGCAAGTGTATGGCGGTGTATCAGACGTACATCCACACCATGAACTCGAATATCAGGTCAAGGTTCGCCAAGCGTGACAATCCTTTCGTTTTCAAGTGGGTAACAATCCTCGCTATATGTACGCGGCAACTTATTCAAGATACGCAGGCACGTCTCCAACATCCCCCAAACTCGAGGGTGGGAGCGCAAAATTGCAGAGGGCCCGCCCTGCGTTGTCCTCGCCAGCCCCGGTTTCATGACCGTCGGGGCGAGTCGGGAACTGTTCGAGATGATGGCGCCCGATCCTCGGAACGGGCTCATCGTCACTGGGTACTCTGTGGAAGGGACACTGGCTAGGGTGAGTGGGCGATATCGCTATAGGCGGGGCACCGTACGACATCATGTACATTCGTGCAATAAAGAATATATTTGTCCTCCCACCTCCTTGTCCTGAGTCTGTGTGCGCCTGATATAGCCTATCGCCGGTTCGTCCTCCTCGGAATTTGCGAACTCATACCCTTGCGTGATTAGGACATTCTGACGGAGCCGACGGAAGTGGTTGGGCTGAAGGGCAATATAATCCAGAGGAAGATGTCCGTGGACGAGATCTCGTTCAGCGCGCACGTCGACTATTCGCAAAATTCTGAGTTTATCGAGATGGTGAAGGCTCAGCATGTGGTATGTATCTTCTGTGAGAAATCCGGTTCATGCGCTCATTCACCCACTAGGTCCTCGTGCACGGCGAGGTGAACAACATGGGCCGGCTGCGGGCTGCCCTGCAGTCACGATACAAAGACCGAGACGAGGAGGTCAAGATCCATACCCCTCGGAATCTCGAAACTCTGGAACTGACGTTCCGCGGCGAACGAGTCGCAAAGGTGCGTCCTCTCTGTCCCTACGTGCAACTGACGCTAACAACTACCCCAGGCGATCGGGACGCTCGCGCAGAAGGCCCCGCAGGCGAACGACACGCTCTCGGGACTGCTCGTGTCGAAGGACTACTCGTACACGCTCCTGCACCCGCGCGACCTGCGCGACTTTGCGGGCCTCTCGACGTGCGTCGTCACGCAGCGCCAGAAGCTGGTGCTCGGCGTTGGGTGGGAGCTCGTGCGCTGGCACCTCGAGGGGATGTTCGGCCGCGTGGAGGAGGGGCTCGATCGCGACGGCGTGCCGACGATGCGGGTGCGTGTTGTGTGGGTTTATTCGGGGAGGGGGGAAGGCTGATCGGGGAAATGAAATTAATTAGGTGATGAGCGTGGTAGATGTGAAGCATACGAATGAGCAGGAGCTGACGCTCGAGTGGGACTCGAGCGCGAGCAACGATATGATCGCGGACTCGACGCTCGCGCTGATCGCGGGGATCGACAAGAGCCCCGCCTCTGTGAAACGTGCGTCGCCCTCCCTGCCCTCTCTCCCCTTCCTCTCACTTACCCTCACACCTCTTACCTTTAGTGACCACCCACCCGCACTCTCACTCACACGGCCACGAGCACGCGCACGCGCACCCGCACGCGGACGCCGCGCACGAGCTGGCCGACGTGACGCGCATCCAGCGCCTCGCGATGTTCCTCGAGGCGCACTTCGGCGACGTCGAGCTGCACATGCCCGACTCGTCCTCGTCCTCGTCCTCGCCGCCCCCGCCCGACCCCGCCGCGGACCCGGAGGACAACGACGCGTCGCTGCTCGTGCGGCTCGACGAGGCGGACGCGCGGATCAACCTCGTTACCATGGTGCGTGCCCCTTCCCCCTTCCCCCCTCCCCCTCCCCCCTCCCTCCCTCCTTCTTTCGTTCGTTCGTGTTTTAAGTGGAAGGGGACGATGCTGACATACGTCTGTGTGGGGGCAGACGGTGACGAGCGGCCACGACGCCCTCCGGAAGCGCGTCGAGTGCGTGCTCGAGATGGCGCTGACGACGGTGAGCTCGCTCGCGGAGACGTTCGTCTCGGGCGGGCCGCTCGCGAGCGTGGGCGAGGGCGCGCTCAGCAAGGAGGGGGGTGCGGAGAAGGAGAAGGGTGTGACTGGCGCGGAGGGGGAAGGTGCGGAGGGGGAAGGTACGGAGGGGGAAGGTGGGGATAAGGATACGGATAAGCCTCCGAGTGGGGATGCGGAGAAGGGGGAGGGGGTGGGTAAGGAGGGAGTGGAGAAGCAGGGAGTTGAGAAGCAAGGGATGGGAGAGGGGGAGGAGGAGAAGCCTGGCGACAAGGCAGGCGAGGAGAGTGATCTGACGGAGGACGAGGACGACTCGGAGGCCCCGCTCCAGGTGCACGACTAGAGAGTTCTCAGCTCACAGGACACGAGTGCCGCCTGTACTTGTATAATACTTACTGCCGCCACGCATATAACCAGTCATGTTACAGAATCATCAAGTTCCAATCCATAACCATAATTGACAACAACTAGCGAGTACATACACCGATGTATCCAGCGCTACAACCTGAATCGAGAGCAACAATACGCCTATGGACGACCGGCAGCGCCGCCGCCGGGGGGAACCAGCATAGGGAGGGAGGGCTGGCGCCCGCCGGCCAGGGGAGCGCCAGTGGAGAAGTGTTAAGTTAGAGATAGCGATAGTGGTGACGAGGCAATCCGGGCAGGCAGGAATCGAGGAATCCAATCCGTATCTAACATGGAGCTCTAGGGAGAACGCCTAAGCCACGGGACTAGTGGCTGAGCCCGGTGAGGCGCCGACGGTGCTCGCGCGCCATGCGGCTCGCGGAGCGGCGGGTCTTGTTCTTGCACGTCCCGCGGTTGGGGACGGTCGCTGAAGACGACGCGGAGGGCGCGGGCGCGGCGGCTACCACAGTCGGCGCTGCTGCTGCTTGGGAGCTGGCGGGCGAAGCCTGCACTGCGGACGAGCTCGGGCTGGGAACGCTGCTCGAGCTCGGGGCAGCTTCCGACGCGGAGGACTGCGCGGGCTTACTGGACGAGGGCGCGGGCGCGGGCGCAGCGGAGGAAGAGGGGGCGGGCGAGTCGCCGTCGGGGCAGAAGGTGATGAGGAGGTTGACGTTGTCGGTCTGGCAGGCGACCTGGACCTGGGTGTCGTCGGGGACGAAGAAGGCGGTGTTGCAGTTGGCGGTGGTGCAGGTCGCGCCCTGGCCGTCGCAGCCGCCCTGGTAGGAGAAGGCGACGGGGACGTTGAGGGCGTGGCTGCGGGGATGGTTAGGGTTGGGTGAAGGGAGGGGAGGCGGGACTTACGGGGGGATGAGGGAGATGTCGGTGCTGGATCCGCATCCGGGGCACGTCGGGTTGCCGAGGGTCATCTCGAGGAGGGCGCAGTTCTCGCCGTTGAAGAGGCACTCGCCTGTTTGCAAGTAGCTGCAGGCAGCGGTTAATGCAAGTGTCTCGAGTTGTCTTGGAGCAATGACTTACGCAATGCCAGCGCTGAAGGGGCCATTGGAGGTGTAGGGCTGTCCGGTCGAGATGACCTTTCCTCCTTGGATCAGTTGAGGCTGGGAAGAGAGTCAGCGGGTGTGATCGAACGCGTCGCGATCGAGCTTACAGTTCCCTTGCCACACCTGTGTCACCGTTAGCAACTGTACACCGCACAGGACGAAGAAGAACGCACTTGTTGTCAAAGGAGATGGTGTGGGACTCTGCGTTGGCGACGGCAGCTACGGCGAGCGCGGCGAGGGCGGAAACGAACGTAAAGGCCATTGGTGGCAGCGAGGGGCGGTTGGTAACGAGAGGTGGGGTCGCTGCGATGCGAGCGAGGCTATAAAGTGGGCACTGGCGACGGAGAGGAAAGACACGTCGAAACCTGCAGGGAAGGGATCCGTACCCGGTGCTGGACAAGGGCTGCTCACACCGCGCGCGGGGCTCTTTTACCGCCTCAAATGAGCCCGTGGGAACGTCTGGCGCGGTGCCTGCACGGCGGCCGGCTGTTCCCGGTGGCGTTTCATCCTCATTTTACGGATGATCACCGCCGCCCAGTTGCAAACCTCAGGCGTACTAGTAGTGTTGCAGACGATCATTAAGAGCTCGTTGCAGACGCACAGCTGAGTGCGGGAAACACAGTCAAGGTCTGCTGGGGTTTTAGCAAGGTATCTCGCGCTGCGGGAATGCGTCCACTCTTTACCTGCATTTATGCATATTTGGCTCTGTCTGTCAGAATCCGCGCCACAGACGACCAACACTCAGCAGGATATATGTATAGTATACAGTAAAAGTAAATGCACTGGCCTCAGTGCAATAATGTATGTGTGATTTCATTGTGATAGAATCTAGGCTGCTTGTCAATATGGTGTTGCGACCAGCAACATCTTGCTGGATATTGAGTCTCGTGTGCTGTGATGAAAGATCTTTGTGGCTTCCAGTAATATTGGAGTGACTTTTATCTGGTGACTGGTGTTGAAGTTGTTCGGCACTCAGCATGCGAACCGATCGAGATTATATTCAAATACAGAGCATACACGATATAGCGATTGAGTGATAGCAATAACGACAACATATCCTTACAGCAAAGCCAGGACCAGCGATTATACAAGATTCCATCAATGAAAGATAACGATACTCTCAGACGAGACAATACCTTTACATCACCTACTGCCCGCGGTGTCGCTTGCTAGACTCGGACGACGTCGGGCCTCTGCTATGACTCTTCCGAGAGCCCTCCGCCCGAACCCTAGTTGAACCCCAGGAGGGAGGTGATCGAACCGGGCTGGGAGTACGGAAGGCGGACGGATCGCTGACCCAGCCTCTGCTCCGCGAGTCGGGGGAGATGCCAGATTCAGTATAGTCGCCTCTGCTCTCCGCGATTTCGCCTGCCGTCCTCTTGCGTCCGCGCGAGCCGGTACTCGCAATATCTGCCCATGAGTGTGAAGGGCCAGCCGCGGCGGAATCAGAGCCCTCGGCGCCCTCGTCATCCTGTTTGCCGGACCACTCGCTGTCAGGGCGACCCTCCGCAATCAGGCCATTGACCCCTGCCATCGCATACGAAGAGCGGAACTGCTCTACAGCGCTTGTCTGTGTGGTCGGAAGGTTTTCCTCCGAGGCCTCCTCGTCGCCTGAACTGCCTTCATCCGGCAGTTTCTCGAACTCCTCTTGAAGGATACGAATAAACTTGTCGTGGGTCTTCTCTTCAGTGAAGAACAAAAGGTCGCGTATGCGGGTCAAGCATGGTTTCAGGTCTGCAAAATAGGGGGCCACCCAGCGCAACACCTTTGATTCCCAGAAGTCTGGACTCGTGACCGCCGCATACTTGTTCATTCCGATCGATTCAAAGTCGTCGTTCGTCCACTTGAATAACACAGTGTCACTGAATTTGATCTTCCTCTCCGACTTGCATGGGCCGTCGTAAAGGATGAAGACCCAAATGAGCACGTAGAAGAATGACTCGAGGTCCCATCGTGGCACATGTACCCGCTGTCCACTCGCTGAAAGAAGATCGATGGCCATGAAAGGAGTAGTCCCCTGAGGCATGTCAATATACATGGAATCTGAAGACACAAATGACTCACGGTCCGCTCCAATAGAGCAACTTTCCGGTCCTTTTGAGCATCATCCGGCGAATAATGGGCAGCATAATCAAGGTCAATGAGGAGTCCCCTACGACGACCATTCTTGCCCTCCTGATCTGAGGACTCAACCAGCATGATATTGTTCACGCTGATGTCCCTATGAAGTATGTTTGCCTTCTCGACAAGCTGCTTGTGGGCTATTTTAAGACCGTCAGTGAGTACAATCGACCATGCCTTGTGGAAGTATTACCTTCGATGACGTCTATGAAAGCTCCTACGAGTTCTCCTTTTGTTTTGAAATGTGTTATAGGCATTGCAAATGGGGTCATGACTAAGCGCATATGAACGCGCTCACCCACACTGGTGTACGCATCCAGGTACATCTTGCTGTACATCTCCTCCGACAGGATCGGGCGTATCAGTTTCGTTGTGTCCTTCTGTCCTCGAAACTCGGCAACCTCGTGTGCCACTAAACGAGGCACGCCCTCAACGGCGTGATTCTCCGCCTCCCGCAGAAACTCGGCTTCGGTGACAGCGCGGGACATGTCCGTCCAGTAGTCTTTGATTGCGTACGTGACACCATTGCGAGACGCGCGCCAACATGCTGTCCCGCGTCCTCTGATCGAATGACTCCGGTATACCCAGTCCTCAATCACGTAGGATTCCTGGGCTACGGTCACGCAGCGCCTGCCATCCTCGAGAGTCGTGATGCTGGGGTCATAGCCGAGACGATCCTTTTCCGAGAAAATGGTCGCGGTAAATATTCGAAGAAACGCGCGAGGTTGGCCACGCATGTCGAAAGTCGCTGAGGAGACTTCACCAGCACGATCGAGCAGGTGCAGGATAATATCGAAGCCCAAGATGGATGCCGCTACCACGAATCGCCTGTCGTATTGAGACTCATAAATGAGACGAGCACCCTCGCCAACTTGGGTCCGAGCCTGACGCCAATATTTGTGTTTGTTCTTGACCTCCCAGTGAGAAATGACAGTCTCCCACGACTGTGGCCCTTCCTTTTCAAAGAATAAGACATCCGGCCGTCTTTCAGAGCCCGGTCCGCCAGGGAGGTGATTGCGATTGCCCGCATACGCGCCCGTGGCAATTCGTCTGCATTCTTTCCCGACAACGACACTGATCCGGGTAGCAAGGGTATTCAAGAATGAGGCGAAGTCCACTTCGACGTCTCCATTGTTCGAGGCTACAGAAAGGTTAGGACAAGATTTCCATGTGCGGGTCGTGGCGGAGAAGAGCCAGTCATCGCCGGTAGTGATTGCGCTGTAGATGTCGTCTATTGTCTTGTCGGAACCAGGTATAAGTGGTTCCGGGAAGATGTGATCGATGAGCTCGCCAATACGGGTCGATCTATAAGGATCCAATTCGCGGTCAACCTTCTTTCCCATCTCGGCAGCTCCATCGTCGTGCGATATCGGATGGGAGCTCAACTTCTGGGCGTAGGGTGTTGTCTTGACCGCAGGCTCCTGCGGCATTACGTCGAAAGTACGCGCCTTGGGATCGGGAAACCTAGGGGCCATGGGTTAAACGCAGGGATGGGAGAGTAGAGGAAACGCAGGGATGGGAGAGTAGAGGACATACCTCAAGCAGCCTTTTATACAGGAGACCCTTCTGATAAAGCGATAAAAATCAACATCAGACAAACATCAGACAGAACACGGACAAACCTTACACGCTGCGAGCCCTGAATTGACCAAAGAGAGAACAAGGGTCACGCAGCAACTCTACACGTGTACTCAGCTACGATCTTCTTGCTGCCTGTAAGATAACTCACAGACAGTCAATCGTAACCTCGTACTGCCGTAGCTCTCTGAACAACGACTCGTGCAATAAGAAGTCAAATGTGGCGTTCAAGAAACTTGAAGAAAGGACGCGTCGACCAGGTAATGTCCAACGCGCTGGTCACGGCGTCACGGTCGCGCTAGTGACCATTGTCCTATCGCTTCCACATATTCTCACGGTAAACCTTCCACGACAGAACTTGATCCCGTGAGTCCCATCGATGCGAGCACATGGGGGAATGGCCCCTGGATGACTCTGAGCCCACAGACAGGCCTTCATCGCCAGATGGAAGTTCATATTTGAACTCGTCTGGACCGGAACGCCGGCTCGATAATGATAGAGTTGCAATAAAAGAAAAGAAAAAGAAAAAGAAAAAGGAAAAATTGGGATTGGCTCAGAGAGCCATGTGGCAGTTGTGGCTTCGAGGCCCTTGGAACTGAAATCTGCGTTACTCTCGGGCCTATGCTCCACAAATCACCCTCAGAGCCCTGAAGTAGGAACACAGCAGCTAGTGAGTGACAGATGGCATATTTTACCATAAAATCCGAGTGTAAATACTGCTAAAATCGAATTTGTCCGGCCCCTCCAGGGCCATACTAGTACTCAACCCGTCCATCGTTCTCTGAGATATATCTCCTATAAAACGGCAACTGAAACCATGAGAAAGTCTACAGCTAGTCCATGCATATTTTCTGAAGGCGATTCAAGCCCAAAATACTGTGTAATTCCTCAATTTGGGGCCCTCCGGGGCAAGTGACTTCTTGTATCAGTCATTCAAAGCAAACACCACTCCCCCACAATTCCACGAAAGAGGTTTAACATTGAATCTGTAGTTTGCACGCTTTCCCCCCTCCACGCCACCTTACAAGGTCTGGATTACTGCGGATATCTGTAAATGCAGTGACACCCAGTCAGGCCAACTGCGCAGAGGATATTTCATTAAAAATAATTCTGTAAATCTACTGCTGTGAACTGTCTAACTGCTGCTGAGTGCTGAACACTCCCATAAAAACTCTGCATGGACATCAAGGTCTGTTGGTATGATTTGGGGTAATGGATATCAAGCCGCATCTACCTTCGTATATATGGTCTCAAGTATACAGTATACGCAGGTATTTTACCTATTGTACCCACGAACGGGAGCTCGTCCGGCACCTGTCATGGCAGGCACAAATCGAGCCTCTGGCACAGCCACTCGATAACTCGTTGAGTTTGGTAGGTTCGTCCCACGAAATGGCACAGCCACTCGATATCGAGCAACCATATGCGTAACCTCCCCGGAACGCCCGAGGAAGCTTATGTTTTAGCCATGAACCAAGCAGAACAGGTGAAAATGGTGCAAAATCAGACGGATCGCCATACAATTGAGGGAGAAGGGCAGGAAAGGATTTCTACCGAACGGGAACGATATGCCAAGCTGTAAAACACTCGGCTTTCTCCAAGTGGTTGTCCTCGATATCCCCCAGTCATGCCTACGCAAGTGGAACGTACGCTCACCTTGAGATGTATCCTCTCTCTCCCTCCCATGTCAACGGATTATCGCAAGCGCCAATTCGTCTGTGCGTCACGAACACCTTAAGACGCCCATTGCCATCTCGGTGGAAGTGACAGTAGGCGCTGCAAGGCGTTCGTGACTGCCCAGCTCCACCAATGAAGCAACATCTACTGCCATCCAGCGCCGCCCCTCCGAAAGCTGGATTTCGCTACCGGACAGCTGCTCTCAATGCATAGCGATTGACAGCGAGGGAGTCATCGTCATCTGGGTATCATGATATACAGAGATATTTCCAGCTGATGGTGTGAACACCCTGGGCGTGCAGGGTACTTAACCCAGGGATTCACCAATACGGGGCGGACTGTTAATAATCGAACATGCTCGTGTTCACATTGTTATTCCTCTCCTTCTATACCCACCTCGCGCAGAGTCAGTGTTTGTCCTTCCCGAAATGCTTCAACCCTCTCGATACAGCGACGGTACGCCTCTTCCTGTCCCACCCTTCCCTCCCGGAATAACACAACGTCTGACTCTTGAGGGATGAATCAGTTCATAGCTAACCGCATCCAGTCCCAATACTGGGACCCCTCCTCCGGGCTGTACAACACCGGCGAGATATGGACCGACGCCGTGCGTGCCCCCTTCCCCTTCCCCTCTTCCCCCTCCTTCATCCTCACCTTGCAAGGGCAGAACGCCATCGAAGACCTCCAAACCCTCATGCTCGCGACCAACACCGACGCGTACGCCGCCGTCGCGGAGCAGTCGTACATCGGGCAGGTGGCGCTCGACCCGAGCACGGATTGGGCGGCGGATTATGTGTATTTGCTGGATGGGAGTAATGATGATTCCCAGGTGCGCGTGCCTCCCTCGTTCTGCGGGAGGGAGGGAAGGGGACTTATGGGGCGTGGGCAGTGGATTATGCTCGCGATGTGGCGGATTGCGGATTATAAAGCGGCGAGGGGGGAGGACGCGAGTCCGTACAACGTACGTAGACTCCCCTTCCCCATCCCCTCGCTTCCACACGTTCATGATCAACAATATTGAGTAGAACGCCGCGGCGCAAATATACGATATCATCGCGACGCAGTGGGACGACGTCTGCGGGGGCGGAGGTACATCCATGACCTGTTCGTCGGATAGCGCTGCTAACGTTGATTGACGGTTGACCGGGAAGTGTGGTGGTCCTCAGCAAAGACGTACAAAAACGCGATCACGAACGAGCTCTTCCTCCTCACCTCCGCCATGGGGTACCTCCGAAGTCAGAACCAGACGTACCTCGACAACGCGAACAAGGTGCGCGCTCGGCGCCTTGGTCTTGCAGCAGTGATTTATGACGGCGCCGTGCGTGCAGGAGTGGGCGTGGCTGAGCCAGAGCGGGATGCGCAACGCGCAGGGCTTGTTCAACGACGGCTTGGACAGCGCGACGTGCGCGAATAATGGCCAGACGGCGTGGACGTACAACCAGGTGCGCACGCGTCTTCCCCGTCTCCCCGCTACACGATTCTCACCTTCCCAGGCCGTTGTGGCGGCGGGCTTGGGTGCCTTGGGGGCTGCCACGCGCAACGCCTCGCTGTTCGACGAGGCGGAGGTGAGCCTCGACGCGGCGGCGCGGTACCTAACGCAGGGCGGGGTGCTGAAGGAGTCGTGCGATGGGGTGCCCGGTACGTGCGATGCGGACCAGGAGATATTCAAGGTGCCTTTCGTTCTCTCACCTCCCCTCCTCCCGTCCTGCCGTGGATGAATCAAAGTACTGGTACCGGTATTCTGACGTGGCTCCACAGGGCATCTTCACGAAACACCTCACCTACTACCTCGCCTTCACCGCCGACCCCGTGCGGAAGCTGAAATACCTGCCCTTCCTCGGGGCGCAGTATACGGCGGTGACGCAGCGCGCGCTGAACGCGTCTACGGGGGATGTCGCGAGCGCGTGGTACGCCAGGGAGAGCGGGGGTGGCGAGCAGGGGTTTGAGGCGAGCACGAGCGGGCTGGAGGCGTGTTTGAGCGCGGCGGTGGGGAGCGGGGAGGCGGGGCTGGGGTGGTGGTTTTAGTTACGGGATTCACGCTGGTTAGAAGAGCATTGTTAGTGTATTACCATCCTCCAGACCCGCACAGTTGTATCCCCCGATCCATCATGATGTAGGAGGGGGTCTTTTACTTCTGAGCTCGTAGCTGCCGATCCCAATGCAAGGGTAAACTAGTACTATTGAAATACCAACGCCAGGTGTATACGACCCTCTGCAGTGTGGCTGAGGCAAAGCGGCCCGCCACCCGACGTCATTGCTGGACTGCAATCAAAACGAACTTGCGCTGCTGCTCTCCATTCTCAGTCTGCTCTTCCGACGGCACAACGTCAGTCCTGTGATCACAGCAAGCATGAGCGAGCACCCCAAGCGTCTGCCGACCCTCGGCCGTCGTCTCTCCCTCGGTAAACAGTCTCCCAGGTAGACGACATCGCTGCCAAGCACCGTTGAACGCACAGAGGGAACACAGCATGGGCCAGCGTCTGGCAGTTCGTCGCGAGTCTGATGCACCCCGTGGAGTGCTCAGTGATGGGGTGATACCATTACATTTCCCCGGATTGTGTATTATAAATTCGTGGACGAGTTGCATGAGTTGCCAACCCGACTGCAGCTGCTATGTTTGCTTTCGCCCGCCTTTTAGCGTTTGTCTCGGTCGCGGCACTTCTTTGGAGTGAAGGAGGCGTTGCTCGGCCCCAGCGACGCGCGCAGTGTGCGGCTACGTTGAGCACTGCAAAGGTACGTCTTACTTGCTGTATTAACCGCGTTTAGATGCCCAACTTGTCATACAGGATGTGGCGAACCGCCTGCAATCCAGATACTACAACACCCTCACCGGGCAGTACAACGATGGCGAGCTCTGGACGGACTCGGTGAGCATCCCCCGCACGAGCTAGAACGTCTCCCTTACTCGTCTCTCCCTGCAATCCAGAACGCTCTCGAGGACCTGCACAACCTCATGCTCGCCGATGGCTCCGACGACTTCGGGGACGTCGCCGACCAGTCGTACATCGGCAAGGCCGCGCTGAACTCAGGCACGAACTGGAATGATCTGCTGAACGGGAGCAACGACGATGCGCAGGTAGGTGCAGCTATAGGCGTGGGTGCGCGCCATGGTTGTGACTGATTTCACTGCCCGTTTGTGCAGTGGATTATCCTGGCGCTGTGGAAGGTCGCGGATTATAAGGCTGCGAAGGGGCAGGACGGGAGCGCGTATGTGGTACGTTTCTCCCTATTCTTCGCTGGTCATTGGTTCCTGATTAATCCCTTCTGCGTACGTAGTCCAGCGCCGGGACCATATACGATATAATCGCCGGGGAGTGGGATGATGGCACTTGCGGCGGTGGAGGTGAGTCTATCCGACTCCAACATACGATCCTCGCCGTCTGATTTACCTTTCCACATAGTGTGGTGGTCTACCAAACACGACTATAAGAACTCCATCACGAACGAGCTGTTCCTGCTGACCTCAGCGTACGGGTATCTACGAAATCAGAACCAGACGTACCTCGATAATGCCAACAAGGTTAATGTGCAACCTTCATATGTGTGTACTCAAATGCTAATCAATATCCTGTAGGAGTGGAACTGGTGTAAGCGACGGCTTGAGATTTGTGTCTAATGATCTAGGGTGTCTGACTTCATGCCGCAACCAGTGAGCCAGAGCGGGCTACGGAACAGTGACGGGCTGTACAATGATGGGCTCGTCACAAATACGTGCCAGAACAACGGGCAGGTACATTGTTTTCCATTATCCCTCCTCTTCACACCAGGCTAAATCGCATCCCAGACGACATGGACTTACAACCAGGTAAGCGAGCCCGTCCCCCCGGCGAAGTATACGTTGCTCAGTTGGGAGGATATGTAGGCCGTGGTAGCTGCTGGCCTCGGCGCGCTCGGGGTGGCCAATCAAGATACGTCGCTCTTCGACGAGGCGGAGGTCAGCCTGGATGCGACGGTGAACCACCTCGCCTCGGGCGGCGTGCTCAAGGAGTCCTGTGATGACTCTTCGGGCACGAGCTGCAACGCGGACCAGGTCAGTCTCTCCCCACCTCCCCCATAATAGCAATCACGCTGATTACCTGCGCCGGACAGTCGATATTCAAGGGCATCTGGACGAAACACGTGCAGTACTACCTCGACCAGGCGAACGACTCCGCCCGGACGGCGAAGTACAGCGCGTTCCTCGGCGCGCAGGCCGACGCGATCAATACGAACGCGATTACCGCGGACAAGGATGTGGGGAATGTGTGGTATGCGTCTGGTGGGGGGCAGGAGAACCCGCAGGCGAGCACGGCGGGGCTGGAGGCGTTTGTCGCGGATGCGAAGGTAAGTGCTTTGGTTTGGAGATTTTGGGTAGGTATAATTGGTTGACTGGAGTTGGGTAGTATGGGCCTTGCTGAGAAGAGAGTGTTTGAGTTGGTTGGAAAATTGCTTGGGTGAGGACTATAGTGAAGACTCGTATTTATAACGGCAGCGAATGGATTTTACTTGGTCGTGAATGCGACTTGAGTCGGGAGCCTATCCTGCCTTGATCCAAGTGCTGATAAAATGGGTGATATAAGGTGAGTAAGGGTGCTGCCGCGGTGGACATTTCTGCTACTTTGGAGAGCCTTGCTGCTTTGGATGTCTCTTGCACACCCTCTGGACGACCGCTCGATATCGTCTGGATCGACCTGCTTTGCACGTTCTTCTCTCGGAGCCTTTACGGAGGGTCATATGACGGCAACACGACTTTGACTTGATCCCCCGACTCAGATGCTGGAATGTCCAACAGAGCTAAATATGGCCTCCGATCGTGTTGCAGGCTGCCACCGTGACACTACTCACTGCGTCGGATCTGATAAGACGGTGTCTTTGTATAAGGTGCGTTTGTCTCCATATGGGATTTGTATGTTCGGAGGATGCGATCAGAACTTCCCACTGCAGTGCTGGAATAACCTGCAAAGCCGGATCCGGCTTCAGTGACCTCTATGCTGACGTGCGAAATCAGATAGTATGGTATTCAAGAGTTAGGTGAGTTCTCCTTGTGAGGTCCTCCGTGCCATGCTAAACATAGACACGTAGAGCGAATCAATGGCCACATCTGGCCGAGCACCTTATGTCCGCGCAACCTCCATCTAACTATCTGTCGTTGTACGACACGCGACGTCCGTGAATGTGATCGCAGAGATGGCAAGGGTACCTCTCTGGTCGGCATCCTCTGCTATTTCACAATGCCAGCTGCAGAGGTGTCCCGTGCCCGAGTCAACTGGCCGACTCTCTTTGTGTCCCAGCCATTTAGGTTCGCTGGCCCATATGCAGTGGTCCTTCCTCGCCGCGTCATTTCCAGGATCTGCACGCATCTTGCCATGATTTCGTGTATGGCGCGCGTTGTTGCGCAGAGCCCCGGGTGTCCTGCTGAGTCCTGCGCACGCAGGCCGTCGCAATGTGACGAGTCCCGTGAAATCCATGTTGCAGGCATATGCGTATAAATCGATGGTGGTCACCCCATCCCGGAGTGGTTCCTGCAAGCTGCGATGTTCTCCACCGCAAGTTTACTGACGATCGTATCCGCCGCGGCGCTGTTCTTCAGCTTGAGCGAAGGTGTACTCGCGACGCCGGTCCGCCGCGCTCAGTGCGCGGCTACGCTGAACGAGGCGAAGGTACGTTTACGTCTGCCTGATCCTGAATGCGAGTCGGGGTTGACTGGGGACCGTGTTGTCTGTATCTAGGTTATAGCGGATCGCCTGCAGTCGCACTGGTTCAACACGGCTACGGGGCAGTACACCGACGGGGAGCTCTGGACGGACTGCGTGAGTAGAGGATAGCAGCATCATCCGTCATCCCATCCTACACGCAGTTGTCTCGTGCTGATTGCCACCCAGAATGCGCTGGAGGACCTGCACAACCTGATGCTCGCGGCGGGGTCCGACGACTACGGATCCGTCGCGGACGAGTCGTGGATCGGGAAGGCCGCGCTGAACCCGAACGAGGACTGGAATGCCTTCCTCGGAGGGAGCTGGGACGACTCCCAGGTGCGCTTCCTACGATTGCGCTGGACAGGCTGTTGATGGGGCGGGTGGTAGTGGCTGATCCTCGCGCTGTGGAAGATTGCGGATTACAAGAACGCAAGGGGGCAGGATGCCAGTGCGTATTTGGTAAGTACGGTTTCGCGCGCGATGGGTTGCTGGGATGGTGACGCGGGGCGAGGATTTAGTCCAGCGCCGCGAAGGTGTACGATATCGTGGCGGCGCAGTGGGACGATACGGTGTGCGGCGGCGGAGGTGCGTGCGTGCGAAGGCTGGGCTGTGCGCTGGTGAGCTGAGTGTGCGTTGCGGTAGTGTGGTGGTCCAGCGCGAATACGTACAAGAATGCGATTACGAACGAGCTGTTCCTCCTCACATCGGCGTCGGGCTATCTGCGCACGGGGAACCAGACGTACTTGGATAATGCGAACAAGGTGGGCTTCGAGTTCCTTCCTGGGTGTGTGTGTGGCGGGAAGTGATGATTTCTTGTTTCTTGTTTCTTTGGGGTCTGTGTAGGAGTGGAATTGGTGTAAGTTCTCAATCGCATGAACAGCGGGTGGTAGATGTTGTGCTGACTCTGGCAGTGAGCAACAGCGGGATGCGCAACTCGGACGGGCTGTTCAACGACGGCCTCGACTCGAGTACGTGCCAGAATAACGGGCAGGTGCGGAAGTCGTCGTTATATCGCCATGTATATGTTCTGACACCTGTACCTCGCAGACGACGTGGACTTATAACCAGGCAAGCGGGATCTCCGCAGGCACAGATCGGGTATATTGACGTTATTCTGACCAGGCTGTAGTCGCGTCCGGCCTGGGCGCACTCGGGGTGGCGAACAAGGACACGTCGCTGTTCGACGAGGCGGAGATCAGCCTCGACGCGAGCATGAGCCACCTGACTGTGAATGGCATCCTCAAGGAGTCGTGCGACGACCCTGTGTCGTCGAGCTGCGACCACAACCAGGTGCTCATCTTCTCCGCCGTGCCCTTCAAACTACAACTGACACGGCGACGCGACAGCAAATATTCAAGGGCATCTGGACGAAACACGTGCAGTACTACCTGGACCAGGCGAACGACGCGGCGCGCACGGCGAAGTACAGCGCGTTCCTCGGGGCGCAGTACAGCGCGATTTACCATTATGGGAAGAATGCGGATAACGATGTGGGGAATGTGTGGTATGCGCCGAGCCAGGGCGGGAGCATATTTAGCCCCGAGGCGAGCGCGAGCGGGTTGGCGGGGATTGTGGCGGACGCGAAGGTGAGTGGGTAGGTGGCGTTTTGGTGATGAGCTGATTGGATGGTTTTGCAGTATGGTCCGTGTTGAGTGGTAACTTGAAGGCAGCCCACGAGGAATGCTGGCCTGTCAATGGCTTTAGAGGGAAGAAATCAGTCGTCGTCAGGACTTATCATTTCCTTGTTTCTACGTAGGAATAACCACCACAAGCTATACCCTTTTGTTGAGATACTGTTGTCTATTTTTTGTCGAATTTGACTATCCTCAAATTACAAGTGAAGATATTTTAATCTTATCTTATCGGAGGGCGACGTAATGTGCCGCTAATCGGAGATGTCAGCGGGCTCACGTACTGTCTCACTGCCATCCCGCCGTCGTCGCGCTCGCCAGCGACCATGTCCGTCAAGTACGCCATGGCTCCCGTCGATGGCGCCACCGCCCACGACAAATCCACGCTCCCGCTGTACACACCGCCCCCGCCGCGGCCGCACAAGTTCATCCAGTCGACGTTCAAGCGCGTGCTCTTCCTCTCGCTCTCGCTCTTCTCCGTCTACTACTCCTTCCACACCCTCCGCCTATTCTATCATGATTACTACTCCGTGTCAATACGCTCGACGCTAGAGCCGTCGCGGAATCCTGCGTACCTTGTGCGCGCGAGCCACGGCGCCGTCGCGAGCGAGAACGAGATATGCTCCAAGGTGGGCGTGGAGACGATGCGGCGGGGCGGGAACGCGGTCGACGCGGCGGTGAGCACGACGCTGTGCATCGGCGTTGTGAACATGTTCTCGTGCGTCTCCTCCGCCCCTCGCTGTCGCTCCCTAACTCCGAACGCAGCTCAGGCATCGGCGGCGGCGGCTTCATGACCGTGCGCATCCCTCCCTCTCTCACCAACTCCTCCTCTTCGGAAGTGTACACAATCGACTTTAGAGAGACCGCCCCCGCGGCCGCCAACGCGTCCATGTACGTCGGCAACCCGCTCCTCGCGCTTTTCGGCGGGCTCGCCGTCGGCGTGCCGGGCGAGCTGCGCGGGCTCGCGGCCGCGCACGAGCGGTGGGGCGTGATGGACTGGCGGGAGCTCGTGATGCCGAGTGTAAGGATTGCGGAGGGGTGGGTCGTCCAGGAGGAGCTGGCAAAGAGGATCCGGGTGCGTCTGTCGTTCCCGCTATTCGTTCGGCTGTGTGTGTGTGTTATCAATGGAACTCCATTTTAACGCTGGCGTAGATCCCGTTCTTTGAGGACCTGATGCTGCGCGACCCGGCATGGTCGGCGATATTCGCGCCCAACGGTGAGCTGTTAAAAGAGGGCGAGATTATCAGGCGCACGAATTACTCGCGCACGCTGCGTGCCGTGGCTGAGCAGGGGCCCGATGCGTTCTACTCCGTGCGTTCCCCCTTGCCCTTCTCCCCTCGCCTTACTCACCCGTCCAACCTCCCAGGGCCCCATCGCCTCCTCCCTCCTGCACACGATCCACGCCACCGGGGGCATCCTCACCGCCGCCGACCTGGCCTCGTACAAGCCCATCGTGCGCCGCGCACTGGAAGGTACGTACCGCGGGATGAAGGTCTACACGAGCCACGCGCCGACGAGCGGGGGTGTGTTGTTGATGATGCTAAGCGCGGCCGAAAGGTTGGGCGTGGGGGAGCAGGCGGGACGCGGCGTGGGCGTGCATCGCGCTGTGGAGGTGATGAAATGTGAGTGGTTGTGTTGTGTACGGAACGGCGGGATAAAACTGACGTTTCATGTGTGTGGGTAGTTGGCTTCGCGGCGCGGTGCGTGGCTGTTTATTGTATTGCTGCGCGGCTTGCGGTGGACTTATGCCGAGTGGCAGGACGAAGGTGTCCGACCCGGCGTTTGCGCGGGATACGAAGCGCATTGATGAGATTTATAGCGAGGAGTATATTGATTCGGTGGTAAGGAACGTGACGGACGTGCGTAGCCCCTTCCCCACCTCGTCCCCACCTCCGGCTCTGAAGCATTGCGTCTAGGACACGACGCACCCGCCGGAGTATTATAACCCGGTGTACGACGTGAAGATCGACCATGGCACGGTAGGCCCCCTCGCACCCTTGTGTATACTGACCTGATCTGGGCGCGCGGACAGAGCCACTCGTCGATCGTGGACAAGGACGGGATGGCCGTCGCGCTGACGTCGACGGTGAACCTCGTGTTCGGGAGCCAGGTGATGGATCGGGAGACGGGGGTCATACTGAATGACGAGGTACGCAGGCTCTGGCATTGAATTGTTTCATCTCATACAGATTTTGTTGTGTGTACGCTAGATGGACGACTTTTCGACGCCGGGGACGCCGAATGCGTTCGGGCTCTGGCCGTCACCCTGTACGCCCCCTCGTTCTCTCATTACTTTACTTCCCTGAACCCTCCCGCAGACAACTACCCCGCCCCGAACAAACGCCCGCTCTCCTCGACCACGCCCACGATCGTCGAGGACGCCGCGGGCAACTTCAAGCTCGCGATCGGCGGCTCGGGCGGGTCGCGCATCTTCCCCGCCGTGTTCCAGACGATCCTGAACGTCTTCGAGTACGGGATGGACGTGGGGCAAGCGGTGGAGTACGGGCGGGTGCACGACCAGCTGTACCCGCTCGTGACGGATGTGGATAGTGTGTACCCCGAGGAGGGGGTAAGGGAGCTGAGGGAAAGGGGGCATAATGTTACGGGTGAGTGGTTCGGCTTGTGCGGTGTGGGAGGAGGGCTGATAGTGTGGGCAGTGGAGGACGTGAATAGGATTGCGGCGGTTGTGAATGCCGTGATGGGGGCGGATGGGGTGTACTATGGTGAGTGGTTCGGTTTGGTTAGTATGCTGGATGTTGATTGGGTTACGTAGCTGCGAGCGATTCGAGGAAGAATGGCGTGGCGGCGGGGTATTGAGGGGTGCACTGCGGGGTTTGGATATAGATTAATGTTATTCTTAATGAACACTGCTCTGACGTTGGGTGCCCACAAGCAATTTGCCTCAGCCACCCACCATTCTGTGGCCACACGCGTTGTATGTGTCTGCACATGTACCGGTACAGTGTACTCGTAGTACACGTCTCAGCGATTTAGCTCTGTTGGACATTCCAGCAGCTGAGCCCGGAGTCAAAGTCGTGCTGCGTCATATGACCGGTCATTAAAGACAAGTCGATGTCGAGTGGTCGCCGAAAGAGTGCCCAAGAGGGAATCTGACAGAGCGCCCTATCCGAAGTCGCAAGAGTTACCCACAGCACCGCCAGAGGTTTCATCCTGAATAACCTTTAATCACGCCGTTTTGTCGGCGCGTAAACCAAGGCAGGATATGCTCCCGACTCGAATAGCATCCATGATCAAGTAGAATCCATTCAACAAACCATACTAATACCATCCTCAACCAGGCAAGATCCTCACCCCGCCGCCAGACAACCCTCCTCAGCAAGGCCCATACTACCCAACCCCAGTCAACCACCATCCCCGGGCCTACCCAAAATCGCCCAACCAACCACTTACCTTTGCATCCGCGACAAAGGCCTGCGCGCCGAGGAACGCGCTGTACTTTCCCGTCCGGGCGGAGTCGTTCGCCTGGTCGAGGTAGTTCTGCAGGTGTTTCGTCCGGATGTGGACCATATGGCAGTGACGAGTGTTGTTACGATTATGCTCGGGGTGCGGGAATCTGGAGAAGAAAGACTGGCCTGGTCCGCGTTGCAGCTCGTCCCGGAAGAGTCGCTGCGCGACGTAAGGTGGTTGACGGTCGCATCTAGGCTGACCTCCGCCTCGTCGAAGAGCGACATATCTTGGTTCGCAACCCCGAGCGCGCCGAGGCCGGCGGCTACCACGGCCTACGTATCCTCCCGACTGAGAAACACACAATTCGCCGGGGGACCGGGCTTCGCTCACCTGGGTGTTATGACCATGTCGTCTGATATAGTGTTGTCGTGGGAGGGATTACCGGCGTACCTGCCCGTTCTTCTGGCACGTATCTGAGACGAGCCCGTCGTTGTACAGCCCGTCGCTGTTGCGCAGCCCGCTCTGGCTCACTGATCGTGTCGGGCTCAGTCAAACGCCATGGATACAAAGTCTCGAGCGGTCACTTACGCCCCTTCCACTCCTACGGAAAGCATTGTTATTGACATGCCAGCATACACATAGGATACCGACCTTGTTGGCATTGTCCAAGTATGTCTGGATCTAATTCCGTAGATACCAGGAGGCGGAGTGTCTGCAGGAACTGCTCGTTCTTGAGGAAGTGCTTGTTGTCGTGTTTGGTAGACCACCACACTGCAGGCAGATTAGTTGGCAATGTCTTATCATACTTGGCTCGACAGTAGGTAGACTTCACCTCCGCCACCGCAGGTGCCATCATCCCACTCTCCTGCAATTATTATCGTATATCTTTATGGCGCTGGACTGCGTATACGGATACGAGCGTGACCAGTCAGAGGTAACGTGAACAGTGCGACCACATAGTACGCGCGCGCGCCCTGCCCCTTTGCCGCGTCCTAATCCGCGATCTCCCACAACGCCAGGATGATCGAGTACACACGGCCGGTGATGTCAGTAACGGCACGCACGCGTATCTGGGCATCGTCGTTGCTCCTGTTCAACAGGACATTCCAATTCGTGCCTGAATTCAGCGCGGCCTCGCCGATGTACGACTGGTCCGCGACGTCGGTGAGCATGAGGTTGTGGGTCGTCCAGCGCGTTCTGAAGTGCAGGAAGAGATGAGCAAGAGGGACACACTGGCTAAGGACTGCGAGGCGCGCTCGCCGCGTCCGTCCAGAGCTCGCGGCGGGTGTTGTAGTACTTTGAGTGCAGACGGTCCGCTGCATCCTGTATAACAAGTGAGGCTAATTGACGATCTGAATGCGTCCCGTGCAGCAGGAAAGACGTACCTTTGCGGTGTTCAAAGTGGCCGAACACTGGGGTGCACGACGCTGTGATCGAGCGACGAGGCCTCCCTCACTCAGAACAGGTGCCGGATGGGCGGCTGTTACTCGGATTTGCAGGTTCGTTTTGACCGCGGACAGATAAGATAAGCACGTGGCGCAATCGCGAGGATAGTCTGACTCCTGACGTGGCTGCAAACGTTCGACGTGAACTTCGACGACCATGCCCGCACCGGACTGGGATCTAATATCCTCCTACGCCGGCCTGCTCGCCCTCGCCACTGTTTCTATCTACGCCGGGTCCCATGGCTCCCTTCCGGTGAGTACTCGCCGTGCACGCTGGCTTGCACGACCTGAAGCAGTTGCCAGTCAAAACGCGCGGTGAGAGAAGCGGGCGCGCCTGAAGAGGAAGAGGACGAGGAAGAGGAGGATATTACGGAGCGGCTGTCCAGCTCGGACGCGTGGATGTTCCCCATCGTCGGTTCCGCTCCCTGTGTGCTCGTGGGCTGCTAATGGAGGCATTGGGTGTAGACGGGCTCCGCGGTGCTGTTCGGGCTGTACCTCGTCGTGCGCTTCCTCGGCAAGGAGTGGATCAATTCGCTGCTGGGGTGGTACTTTGCGGCGGCGGGCGTGGGCAGTGTTTGGCAGGTACGTGGTATGCGCTATGCAGAGGTTGTGGATTGACGTGCTCGTAGTCCCTGATTGCGCTGACGCGCGCGGTGCTCGGCGACGCGCGGTGGAAAACGTTCGACAGGGTGAAGCTGCTCGCGCTCAAAGGGCGCCGGGAGCTCGCCGCCCTCTCCTTCCGCACCCCCTCCCTCCTCCTCCTCCCCGTCGGCGCCGCCCCCTCCATCCTCTACGCCTTCCTCCCCGGCGCGCGCAGGTCCGCGCTGCTCAGCGACGTGCTCGCGCTCTCCTTCGCGCACAGCGCGCTCGCCCTGCTCCGGCTCGACTCGTTCAAGACGGGGTGCATCCTCCTCGCGGGGCTCTTCTTCTACGACGTGTGGTGGGTCTTCGGGACTGAAGTCGTACGTTCGCGCCCCCCCGCCTTCCCCTTTATATATTCTTGAGTTGGTGGTGCGGTACATATTCCATGCTGACGCGGTATACACGTACAGATGGTCAAAGTAGCCACCCAGCTCGACGTGCCCATCAAGCTCCTCTGGCCCAAATCCGCGTTTCCGAGCTTCTCCACCGCGCGCGGGTTCACGATGCTCGGGCTCGGCGACGTCGTCATCCCGGGCACGTTCGTCGCGCTCGCGCTGCGGTACGACCACCACCGGTTCGTCCAGGGCGGGGGAGGCGAGGGAGGGACGTTCGCGAAACCGTACTTCCGCGCGGCGATGGGCGCGTACGCCGCGGGGCTCGCGGCGACGATGGGGGCCATGCACGTCTGGCGCGCCGCGCAGCCCGCGCTGCTGTACCTCAGGTGAGTCGCGCCTGCCTTCGATGTGGTGGTGTGTTGGTGATGGATGATGACGGGGCGTGTGTAGCCCGGCGTGTATATTGTCGTTTGTGCTCACTGCGGCCGTGAGGGGCGAGCTGGGGGAGGCGTGGGCGTGGGCGGACGATCCGGAGGCGGAGGGGAAGGCGAAGAAGGAAAAGGAGAGCGCTGAGGAAGCGCGGGACGGGGCGGAGGGGCACGGGGTGGGCGAGGGAGAGGGAGAGGAGGGTGCCGCAGCGGTTGCTGGTGCTCTCACTGCGGGCGAGGAGACGGAGGGGGAGGGGAAAGGGAAGAAGCGGAGGAGTAAGAAGAAGAGGAGCTGATTGTTGAGGGGCGCGCGAGCGCGGGAGGTAATTCATTGGATTCGATGGTAAAGTACCAAAATGCGCAGCGCTGGGCGCGATGCGCCTCGTTTATGGCGACATCATCGTATCCAAGAGTTCGCCGTACCACTACACTACCGTAAGATACCCCTGCACTTACACTACGAGGCCAAGGCATCCGCGCTCGACTGAGCGCATACTTTCCGGGCGACGCCCCGCCCAGTCGCGCACCGCCGCCCAGTCGTCCCACCACCGCGGTCCCCGTCCCCTCCCCTCCCCTCCCCCCTCCCCCCGTCACGCATCCCCCGCCGGCACAACCCTTCCACCCGCGCGACCGCGGCGGTCCTCACCGCTCGGGTCGGCGGGGGGATATAAGTACCATCGCGGGAGGACATCAACATGAGAGTCATACGCACACACAGTCGCCGGCGCGGCCGCACTGGCTCCATCGTGTTCGGCTGCTGGCCCCCGTCTGGAACGTGGACGAGGGGCGGGGCGGCACGATCGAGCCAAGGGCGAGCTTCCCGGCGTCGGGCTGCGCGCTCGCCCCGTTCGCTTTCGCTTCCTCTGCCAGAGTGCTCGTCCTCGGCGCTCACCGTTCGTTCGCTCTGGCTTGATTGTTGCCCGCGTTCGATTCTCGATTCTCGATTCTGCTCGCGTGACTCGCGACTTTGGGTTGATCCTGGTCTGACTCGCGACGCTGGGTTGATCCTGAGTTGCGGAGAGGGGCGAGGAGAGAAGTGCGTTGCCGCCACGGCCCCCGCTCCGAGGGTGATCAATGCCAAGCGACTGTGTTCTTGATCGGGCCTCTGCGCTCGCGGCGGCCGGTCGCGCACAGTCGCGCGGGTTGATGCTCTCAGACCGGAGGAGGCGGGGGAGGGGGGTGGGCGCGCGTTTTCGTACCTATTCTCCGTTTCGCGGTTTCTTTGGTTTTGCATTCCGTGGTTTCTTGTGTTTTGACGTCCGTGGTCGTGGTCGTGGTCTTGTTTTCGTTCCTGTGTTTATCGCGGGCGGGAGAGGACGACGAGAGCTTGGCGTCTGGAGGGAGAAATGAATGGCAAGAAAGGAAGGAAGGAAGGAAGGGCCGGAGCTAGCGTGCGCGAAGGGAAGGAAGCAGGCCAATGCTGTAACGCAAGTATGCCAGTCAGTGTGTTATTCGCGCCGCGGGGCATCCTCGGGGGCGACGCTGATCCGCAGCCTATTCGAGCAGGATGTGGACATGCATCTGTGCGCGATGGACAGGGTATGTCAACTGAAGACGTGCGGAAGGCGAGGAGGGTCCGGGGCCGCGGGGCGATTCCGGGGTTAGGCGAGCGACAAGACGAGCGGGAGGGGCGTTCGTTGTCAGTTATGCTTGCCCCCTGAGCTGAGGAGTGGAATTGGAGACGCGTACCGCTGCCCCGGGGAACGACGTCAAGCGCGCGTGCAGGAGGAGAACGAGAACAGCAGAACAGAATTCGAAGAACCGTCCCAATCCCAGGTATGTCCGGCCCGAGGCATCCATCCAGCACGCGTGAAAGGCTAACGTTCATACAATGCAGCTTCGCACATTAACGGACAGAAGGCAGAAGAGCGAGCGCGGATCCACAGTCGCAGCCTAGTATAGGCAGGATGGGATGCGAGATGAGATGAGGGTGGGTGTGTTGTATGTTATGTCCGGGATCGCGGGGGCGGGCGTCCTTCTCACGTGGCCATTGGCGCAGGCGGGGTAAGAGGTGTTGGGTAGCCGAGGATGCGCCGGGGCAGCTGTGAGATGCGGACGCCAGCGAGAGGACTCGGACGCAGAGCTATTTGCGCGCGATGGTGGCGCGCACGTCAGGGTTCGGTTTCTCCTATGCAGAGTTGCTGGAGGATGGGCGGTTAGTAAGCTGCCGGGGAGGACGGGGGTTGCGCCAGAGAGATGCATATGACGATGTGAGAACAGAGGAGGCTTCCCCGGCGGAGGCCATCGCGCTAGACTATGACAAGCGGCTCGGTGCTATGTTTGCGTGGATGGTCGTGTTCGAGAAGGGGGGGAAGCCGGGATGCCCGCGGATCCTGACGTGGTGGGTAAGTAAGCAGAGAACAGAGAACAATGGCCAGTCCAAGGCTCCAAGCTGGTCCGGCAAGTGACCCAGCGTATTGTTGTGGGCTTGAGCGGGTCTCCACGGCTTGAGTAAACGAACGCTGTTCATGCCGTCTGCGATGATGCCAAGGTGCAATTTCGCCGCCTCTGCAGCAGCGCCGTCCTTGTCATCACGAGATCCGACCGGCCGGTCGTCGCGGGCTCCCAGGCGATCACAAGTACCGCGGCCACCGAGAATAGCGGGGGCTCCCATTGGCTGGCAGGGAGGAGAGAAGTTGATCAGGCCAAGCTCGGGGCGTGTAGAGAGGAGATCTGGCGATCGCGCGCGCCCGGGGGGTTGGCGTTGAGTATGCGGAAGCCCGAGCGTGATGGAGCGCGACGCGTGGGCGGTCTGCCCCCAGTTTAAGGTTTGTGGAACGGGCTGGGGGGTTGTCTGGCATGGGCTGTACGAGACCCGTACGTCTCGGTGTAAAGCAGTCGTCAAGTCGCGTTAGAAGCTTGAAGAGCCATACGGAACGGACAGGGTGTACGGCATAATAATACGGCGAGGACCAAGGTTCGGGTTCGAGTGGGCAGTCCAGTTTGGCACTCCAAGACACAATTTGATCAGGAGGAGTTGCATAGAGTAAGCAAAGCAGGGCATCGAAAGGCACGATTCACGTCACCGAATATTGAAGAGAAGACAGAGGATGGAGAGTGATCGCGTTTGTAGATCCGGAAGTTCTAGAAAGCAGACAGGGGCACGGGCCCGGCTTGCCAGAATGACGAGGATCGCAAAGGCAGGATGGGCCCAGGACAGTCCCCCGCCGCCTGCGATCAGTCACCGGGTGCACGCCACTAGCCCAACTCAATATCGTTTCTCGTTTTCATTTTCTCGGGCGCACTGGCACCCCTCCTGCCGACGCGGCGACACGGAGAAACCCGAAGTTATTGAGCGTGCATTTTCTGGCGGATTTCTCGTCGCATGCTAGACACCACAGCTGTCAGATAGCTCGTGCTCATCCCACGTGCTGTATTCTATGGCGGACTGGGATGGTATGTGGCAGTATCAGCAGGGTCACTATACTGGCCCTGCCCTAGCTCAGTAGTTGCAAGGGTGCCAGAACACAACTTAGTGCGCGTCCAACAGCGCGTCACAACAAGCCAAAACATATCGTATTAGGCAAGACATAAGCAACCGAGAGCCTGGTACATCAGTACAGCGCATGGCAATTGAAAGTCCGCCCCAGAGAAACGAGAGAAACAGCTCGAGGAGCTGTTTCTCGTTTTCTCGTTCGCGCTGAGATCCCAAGTCCGATCGCCGTTCGGCAGGGACCCCGAAAGGCTTCAGCGC